ACAAGAATCACGAACGCTGCAACGATGCACGAGAGCTTGGCTGTGGCTGAGGACGAAGACGACAAGATTCTCTGGTAGAAGCACTGAAATCCAAGGCTGCCCAGCACCTTGACAGCAAAATATTTAATTGTGGATAAGAGTTAGCACAGATAAAATTCTCCTATTAGCACTCAGGTATCAAACATTTCAGCTGCGGTAAAGATAATAGCTACTTTACAATGTCTATGCAGAGTATTCACTCCTTGAATAACTCATCATTAAATCATGGTCAGTTCAATTTGGTGAATAAAGTAAAATAAATGCAGCTAAGTGTAGAGAAATCCTGGAGGACAACCTGATGCAGTCTGCAGGAGGACTGAGGCTTGGAGAAGACTTGTTTTCCTGCAAGATTGTGGCTAAATTATTCTCCTGAAGCTACACAGAAGAGGCTGAGTCAGAGGTCAGATCTTTGTCTAGCTGAAGATTTATGGCTTGAAATGGGCTGTTTCCTGGTGATCTCCAGGTAACCCGGCAGAGTTTGAGCCATTTGACAAAGAAGAATGTAGTGAAGCGTCCAGATGTGAGAGGCTTATTGAACCCTATGAACAGGCTGTAGTTGATGTCAGCTGTGCATCTACTGAATACATGAAGGAGGTGAATACTTTTGCACTTATTGTAGGTTTTAATTAAGCAATGTTACTTTATAGAAACGTGTTTTCATTTTGACATGAAAGAATATATTTTTGTAAATTCTTGTCAGTTGAGCCCAATTAAAAATGACTATGATTCAGTGTTTTAAATAGTCATTATTGGGATGAGTTTCCAGGTTGGGTGAATACATTTCATAGGCTGTGTAGTTTTTAAAAACGTGTTAGCCTCTGCTACGGCTTGTCTGGTAAAATGAGAAGTATTTGTGCATTTATTATCACTGTGAGGACATGCACCAGAGTTACAATGACATGTGTGTGACCTGTGCTGTAGTTTTGCTTCATCCTACCAAGTACATGAAGTCATCGATCATGATCCAGGTCCGTTTCAGCTGCAGTGCACCGATCCAGGGAGCGTGTAAGGTGTTGTTCATCAGAGTGTCACTGATGCTCAGCGAGGCAGGGTTCATCATGACAAAGGGAACACAGATGAGCTGCACGGACAAATCAACACAAAAAAATCATGCATGACTTAAGAAGACGTCTTGTGCAGTTTTGACGAATACAAGCAGTTTTTGCTGCTTTGTGTGACAGCAGTTTCTCAGAACAAACGCAAATAAAAGGATGTCAAACTCACCAAGCCCACGAATATGAGGACAAGCTGGATGATGTCAGTATAGGCCACCGAGTAGAGGCCTCCCAGCAGGGTGTAAGTGATGGCGACGGCAGCAGAGATCCAGATGCTCACCGTGTAGGACAGGTTCAGGACCACACTCATGGTTGCTCCTGCCGAGGACATTGAGTCATATTTTTCACCACATTTGCATCCAAATACAGGTGAAAGAATTAGTGGTATGAACAAAAAGTACAGTGATTATGTTGAAACTGTACCTAGACTGATCAGTGATATGGTCACCCAGACCACATCAATGGAGAGAGACACCACGGACAGAACAGCTGTTAGTCCTTTCCCATACTTGGCCTGGAAAGGGTCGAGCATCGTCAGGTATCTTCTGTCTCTCATTGGTTTGACAAACACCAGCCCACCTGGATGCAGAACAGGACAGAACACGGCCATCAGAAAAGAAATGAAGACAAAACTGCAGAAACAGTACAAATAAAATGTAAGGTTTATAATCAGAAACAACAACTAGCTGCAGTTTTATATTTATTACATCCCTTAATCTGAACTGAGAAGAATGACTAGACCAGATCTATGCAACATCACAGCTCACAGATTCAATCATGTAAAATAGATTAACTGGTGATTAATTTGTGATGAATGTGGTTTTAACTGTAGGTCAAACATGCTTGTTATTGTGAAGGTGCAGACACACCGCAGCCTGTCAGGTGTCGCTTTAAACTCTTACCAAGAATGAACGATGCGCTGAATGCCATTAACAGTATCAGTGTCCAGGTCAGTCCCATAGACGGCGTGTTAATCATCTCCGTTATGCCAACAATGAAACCTCCTCCGACTCGCGTGGCTACGAGATAAATGAACACACGGACAGCAGGTTATGTCAGGACCCAACAGCAGCTTTATGGAAAGGTGGCAGAAGGTTGGGTTCTCACATCAGGACAGCATCAAATAAAGATGATGCAGGTAAATGAAGAAGGCTCACCATGAAACCATAATATCAACTCTGAGATATCACTTCTGTGGAAACAGAACAAGCATGAAGCAGCAGAGACAACTCAGAAACGTCTGTTGTGCAGTACGACGGTTACAATGCCACAAATCATTGTACAAACAACTGGAATCAACAC